CAACTCTCGGCAAGACGCAAAGTCTTTCAAGCGGCTTCGCTGTGTTTAGTTTGTATAGCTTTCTTGCATCAAGCCCTTCCACTCCCCATTGTTCTCTCATGGCTGCTCGTTCCTAATTACAGCTGCTAGAGCCCGTTTCGTTATTCCTTTATTTCTACAGTATACTATCATCCGCATGCATGTAGACTAATCTTCAAGGTCTTCGCTAAAGTGCGCCCTGTGTTCCCAAAAAGATGCCTAAATACTCAAGCGTTATCAACTAAGTTCCTACTATAATTACCCCCCCCCCGATGCGTGGTTGGCTTCTACGAAGAGACAATTAGAACTTTCACCACTAACTACGCGAACCTTTTCAAAGACGTTATGTTTGCTTACTAAATATAACTTAACTCTTTATAAAAACACTTACTGTTGTATTTCATTTATTAGTACAATAGGCGCGTAAGGATACAGGTCCCTGTTAGATTGCCCGGATGTTTCCACTTCTGTAGATAGATACACGATGAAGAACTTACTTCGTTTCCTTTAGGCTAGGCTTTAGTTAGTCATCGTGGGTCGAACTGTAACGAGGAACTACTTTCCTCTATATTTCTAAACGAACAGAAAAACGTAAGAGAAGTTTTTTAGGGCTCAATTGATTTTTCCGCACTATCACATATCGTGACACCCATTTGCCAATTCCACACCCGGTATTCGGTTATGCATTATTACGCCAAGCACCGCCGCCACGGTCCAATGAAAATGGCACTCATTGACCGCCATTTTCATGCGCGTGGGATGGAGTAGGCGGCAGCGTCGGGAACTCGATTGCAAATCTGGTTGGGAGCATGCAGATTAGTGCATCCGTGGGTTGGAATTATGACCTCGTAACGTGTCGCCTCTTAATACACGCGCCAGTAAGATAACAAATCTGCTTACTATATTCACTTATTACTTTAGATTTATTACAGTGTCATCGATCTCTGCTCCTTCCCACCCACTAACAGTTTAAGAAAGTTAAAAAAGGGCTCTAGTAGACGTTTACGAAGCATATACTGCTCGTTTTCAAGCCTGTCGTAGGTTCGCGACAAAATGGCGGACTAAATATTTTGCAATCACCGTCTCGTATTACATACAAACGCCCTTGTTTGAGTTTGCTGAAGTGGCATATTAGAAGTCCAACACCGCATCATAATAGCTGTGGCGGCATCAACAGCGGGCAGATCATTGCTCTTATTGTCGTTCTTGTTTTAAGTTTATACAGGGCTTGGATAAGGCATGGCGACCGACTTAACGGGTCAACTAGTTGCGACTTTTGCGAGGGGCCTGTCTACAAAGGAGTAATGACAAGGTTGCGGCAGTTGTGCAGCAGTGAGCATAGGTGCTTAACGCTGGTCAGCCAGTTTCAAGCGGGAGCGAGTCGGTCCTTTTTTGTGGGCCAATGAGACCGCTGTTGTGAGGTTATACAGGTCTGAGGCTGGTTCTGTGCTACGCAGTTCAAAGCGTTGCTCGCAGGCAGGTTGTACAGAAAGCGTATAACCAGTTCCGTATAGCTTTCGCTTATATTTTTCTCTCTCGCTGCGCTAGACTCACTGTATGTTCTATCTACTTCTGTCTCGGCGACTACAGTCAGTGAAGCTAAACTGGCTTTATGCTGAGCAAAGCAGAAGGTATAGGACGACTGCGGGCACACGCTCTTATCGGTACTACTATACCCGATGTAAGAATCTGTAAGCAGTTGAGCCAGTTATACAGAGAAAGATATACAGAAAATGAAAGCGTAAAGAGAGGAAAAAGCCAGAGACCAGGGGTAAGATGAAAACAGTGCTTATCATGACACACAACTAACCTTCGTTGTTTCATAGGTTGCGTTTAGTAGTGTTTCGTAGCTATCTCGTCGCTGCACGACCATGCGACACGACGCGACAGGGATCCTGGGACAACAACATTACGTTGAAAAGAGACCAAAAATTGTATGAATAGTGCGTAAGCTAATACTATTAGTATGGTTCAGACGTTCCAAATAAATAATCGAAATATTCAGCGATAATATTTGATGAAACCTTACAGAGATTTAAGACGACAAGAATAGTACTGCTTGCAAGGAGCTTTAATCATCCTACGATCTGCAGACGGTGAAGGACCAGCCCGGAAGGCAAGCTAACAGGCCATCGGTATAATAACGTTGAACGTGTGGCGGTCTGGTTGATTTTGATGAAAAGAGATTTTTTCTAAATCGTATAATACAGCATTATATTGTGTTAGATTTGTTAAATTTATTGTCACGATATTTTTAAATGAAGGCTGTTGTTGCTGACTACATATTGTAGAAACGTTTGGTATTCAGTAGCAGAGCTTAACGAGAAACAAAGTACAGCCGGTCTTAATTGAACTAATTACATGTGCTACTCGTATGTTTCACTATTGTTTGAGATGACAAGTGTGTGCTCTTTTTTTAGAGTTCAACGTCACATGTGCGGAAATAGAAAGGGCTTACCGCGGTTAGGCCTCTCTGTTCTGAAACGATCAGGTCTAAGCCAGGGTTCATGAAGCATTCCTTCTTATTCCACTCATGATCCGAAGGTCTGCTTAAAAAATAGGAAAGCGGTAGTTCCGGAGGCTGATCGTGCGTTACCTCAACAGGCCTTTAGTTTCGCTAAAAGGGACACCGAGATTTAAGAGCTCTTTCCAAGGTCGCGAGGCTGGTGCAAGCCCTAGGCTACGTGTCTTCGTTTGGAAGCCGCTAAATCGAACAACAGAAAGTTAAGAAAAGAGAGGTTCACGTCCCTATTGGGAAACTGTGTGCCGTATTGGGTTAGCTGTTAAGCACTGGATAAAACTCTACCGACCTAAGCCGCTGCCAGAAGCCATGCCATAGGAATATACCACGACAAATACTGCATCTTGTTTAACACTTTTCGCTGGATCTATCTAAGAATTGTATTTATGTCTATTATCTCAAGGTGAACCACATGATGCAATACAACAGCTACTCTAACATAATACGCATAACTTAATATCGATTTTGTAAGGTAAATTAAAGGAGTATCGATATAGCCATTCGCATTATTTGAACTAAGATCTATGAGTCCACGTTTAAAAGTACTGCTGAGGAAACAAGTCTTGCTTCACCTTCAGTTACATTGAACTTACGTTTTTTTTGCAAGGAAACATCTCATATGAAGGATAGATCGTCAATTTATCCTCTAAATACCAACCTAGGCTCAATTATGCCTTTTTAGAGTCTGCCATTCAGACACAACTTTTTTCCTTTTCAGAGTAGAGACTACCAATAGCTGTTAGCCGAACAAAAGACCAGCATAAACCTGCGTGCTATAAAAATGGGTGTCTATGTAGGACAAAGGAAAAGAGTCATGCTAAAGGATTTCGAAAACTCCTCTTATTGGAACATTTAAAAATCGCTCAATATTAAATCTTAGCAGTAAAGTGAAGCAGTTGTTGCTTAGAACAAGCAGAATGGCAGCGCGACGCTTTGATTCTCAACCCTAAAGCATACTCATAATAGCAAAATATCTGCTTCATCCAAGTGTTCCTATAGCTTGCTATCTGTACTGATATAAAACCCCAAATATGCAGTTCCGTTTTGTGAAGCTGCGTTACCAAATGCTATTTAAATTACCTGACGCAAACATTCTAATTCTTATACCGCCTGCTGTTCCAAGAATCACATAAAAATCCAAACCTTCTGTAAGCAACAAGGTCAACTGCGATATTTAATTGTGTAACTTTCCATGGATCGTCATTTGATGAGGTCCAATCAACAAACCATATAGATTATCCTAGAAACATAACAGATGTGTTACTTTGATACCATCTATTACCCTTTCAAAATATATTTTGAGAAGAAGTACAACTTACGAAGCTTACTGGCATCGACAATTACGCGACGACGCTTTCGTTTAGTAACGCGAAGCGTATCGGTTTGATATATCGGTCGGTACATTATCTGGTGGAGTAAACGAAGCAACTAGGCACAAAACCGAAGTTGAATGTTAAATCGATATTTCTCTGCATAAACACTTCGTGCCGCAACCAACAGCTGTCAAACGGAGAAGAGTATAGATGGAACGGTTAACTATGTATAGCAATATCGGTACGATCAAAAGCCGCTCCTCAATCGTATGACATTGCGTATGAAAATTTAATTCAGTATTGTCGAACGGTGCCGACCGAGGTTATGGCCGCTAAACGAATCATACCTCAATCGGGGATCGAGTTCTTATAGCGGGCTCCCTAACTACACGATTATGGCACATGTCAAAATGCGACGAAGAAGTTGTTGCAGATCGATGTAGGCTTATAGGTACAAGGTTGTTTATCGACGGTCCTGTCGGTTATTCGTAATTGTTTATAATGGGAAGCGTTCGATAGAAACAGCTACATTTGGGGAAGTTCGTATTTTCGATTTATGCGACCCTATTTGCAAAAACCGATAGGCCACGCAGAAGAAGAAAGTAGATTTACACATTAAGTTAGTTTTGCATTTTTTAGAATATATAGATGTTATTACGGTATTATATATTGGCGAGCCCCAAAGCCTTAAATGCCTTTAGGCACCTTTCGGAGATAGGTTTTTTAAAGCTCTGTCGCATGAATACGTACATCTTCCAATTCTCATCCAAACCGATAGGCGATTAATCTGTTTACCTGATATTGATCCATCTAGGCAACTTTTAACAAATGAATCTAGGATACGGATTTCACCTTAGTTAGCCACCTCTGTTCGATGCCATCGTGTAAACGGGCCTTCCGCTTTATGCCTACTATTTGACAAGAGGAATACTGTCGATGTGTTTGTCTCGCTTGGCTGATCAGCTGCGTGTGACCTTCACCTCAGGTTAATTCTGTTCGTAGAACCGTTAACGGCTTCATGATGCGGTCCTTGCACAGCATCCTGTTCTCGTTTCTGTTATCTTGAAATTCGCGCCACACAATACACTATATAAACATTAGATCTGCCGAAGCTAGCGATATACTGACTGCGGAACGTCAAACGAGTGCTGCACTTGCTTTTCTGGAAGTCAATCTATTTCAATAGGAAGAAATGCCCTCCCCCGCTAGAACGCGATTTTCACTAGTCAATGTAAGTACAAGGGCATCTTCTTTTGTCTATCGCTCTTTGCATATGTGTGTGTGCATATGTGATATTGTTCTTAAAATTAAAGTTGTTATAGTACGTCTTTTAAAACAAATACGCTAATTTTTAGGTACAAACCTATTAACACTAGAGTCACTGGACTTATATATTTGTCTTAAGATAATTCCAGAGGTAGAGTATTTGTGTCTCTGATCATCTTCTATCAGGTGTCGTTGTGGCTTTGCACAGCACTCGGTTGCCTGTTTGGTTGCGGCCCATTTTCGGTGCAGGCACAATCTGGGGACGCGTTTGTAGAGGCAGTCGTGTCCCACTTGAAAATCACTCCCTATCTTGTTGAAACTCTCAACGTCACATCATACCCTTACAGCTTTTATGTACAAGACAGCATCGAGCTTGTCAATGTGAGTAGGCTTAGATACTCAGCGAGGGGAGGTTTCTCTCAGCCGCTCCCTTGGTATCATTCCCGCTTCTTTACTCCTTCGTCACAATAAACCATACTGTATCGCATGCATAGTAATTTACGAAGGTATTTTTGTGAGAGACGATTTTTCTAGAATACACATTATAGAAGTTCGCATTTGCCATTGGACTTAATGGTTGACCTTGGGGACTTTGTTTGATAGATCACCCAGAATCTATAATGTTGTATTGTTACTAGTGTAGAATAGGCAATCAGTATCATATTTGTGATTCAAACAACTCCGTCGACTTCTGGTTACAGGTATCAGTAATTAATTTATTAAACCTGCACCGCGAAGGCCCTTGGGACCTTCTTGTTGACTCCGATGGCCTTATGCACTTACGGGGCGCCCTTAACCTTAGCGATGTTTATGTTCGGGCTGGTTACCGATATCACCGCTGGTTCACGACGCTTAACGGACACATCCGCCTCCACTTTCCACAACTCAAACTTGAATTACACACTACAGTGGGTTAGCTATAACTGTTGTTTATAGTAAAAAAAATTGAACCTAAAAGCTTTGCAATGGTTAAAAGTTGAATTATCTTTTTTTGAATATGATTCTTAATGACTTAATTCGAATGAGTGAAGAAGAAAAATTTTAATTCCCTATTTCACGTATATACTACAACGCTTTGCTTTTAACGCAGTCTCTTTTTTGACACAGCCACATTGTACAGGTCAAAGTTAAATTGTTTCGAGTCTTGTCTTGAACGAAGTGCAGCATCTTTGTTATAAAGTTTATGTTAAAACCCTCGATATGGACCGATAATTACGGCACTAATGTGTGCTAATAAATGGAACTTGCTTGCCACATATAACAGCTACATCTGATAACAGCCCCTTCTCATAGTACAAAACTAAACTTTAAAGTATACATATGTATATGTATGTGCTTGTATTCATAAATGTTTAAATATAAGGCAACATTTTTAAAAATTTGATATTTATACAACTCTGAACCTGCAGTTGGCCAACCTGACGAGCCTGGAGTTAATAGGTTTCCGAGTGGCAAGCATAATTCCACCACAAGTCGTTGAATTTTCTGGGGCAACGACATTGTTTAATTGGATTGGTGCTCGAAGGGTGCAGGTACGCAAATAATGAAAAAAAACTTCATCTCAATATACTTTTCTATATAGCGTACAATTAATTAACTATATATACTCTCGAAAATATTCGGACACGTTTTTAAAGGCTACTGTCGATTTTGCAAGTGATTTCGGTACATTTATGCCTTGGCGAGAACACTGAAACATTATAGAAACGCAACTTCTTCGAAATAGACGTAATTCGCGTCGTACATGTGTTCGCAGAACTTGATGGATGCATCAACTAGCATTTTGGTGGAGAACTTCGAAAACTTCGTTCGGACCAGCGTGACTGCAGTAATGCAAAGCAAAAAATACTCCAGCCAAAGATGTCAGCAGCAGAGTGAACAAAACCAGCAACGAAATCAGGTACAGAATCAGCAAGCGCGGCTCCCGTACCTTCGTCGTGTCTAGAAACGTCAAGGCCGTTTTCACTTAGAGGGATATCCTTCGTATTGTTTTTCTTGACACAGAAGCCTTATTCCAGGGAAGCCTTGTCAAGGATTCATATATAAAATGATTTTGATAAAACACTACCTAGCTAGAGTATACGCTCAAATGACTGTTAGGGCATATACGTTTTTTGTTTATAGTAATTTATTCGGTGCGCGTTTAAAACATTAACATACTATCTGGAATTCCCTTAAAACTTCGTAGTCGAGAAGTTTGACAATGCCTAGAACATTCTTAATTAAGCTCTTCATGTCCGCTAATTGCTTTGATCCATGCGCGCAGATGGTGAAAGTAGATACGTACATGCGATGGATGCTCACTCAAAACACCCCCTTCCCAAAAATGTTTCATTAAAACTTGTTTTGGAACTATGTACCATCGTGTCTGCAATACGGAATACTAGACACCGATTTTTACAGATATTTTTGTGTTTACAAAGCTAAATTCAGCGACTTGAAACTTTTATTGATGCCAACTCGCGTAGCCTGCCTGGAAACAACTTATTTTGTCTAATAGTTACGTCACCCCGGAGTTCTTCGTCTGGTAAGGACGAAAGAGCGGTAATGAATCGAAAGAGATCTGTGCAAATTAGCACAAAGTCGCGAACAACTAAAAGACCTATGTAAAATAGTTACGTTTTATTAATCCGTTTGTAACGAAATCGCTTACAGCCCCAAGACCATCAACAGCAGCGGCATCAAGACCCATCTATCGAAAACTGGGGAACTACAGCCAACTGGACAGACTTGTCAAACGGAACTGAGGATACTCTCCTCACAAGGCAGTGATCTTTCAACACGTGCAAAAAAGGTATTAGGAAATTAATTGCAGACGATTGTTTTTTCCAAAGTTGAAGACTGATTCATGGAAACTATCGTGATTAAACTTGGCTTTATTTTAACTATTTTAAACGTGATACTGTTTGAATATTTTCTTTGATCTCACTATAAAGAAAGGTTATATAAATTATCGCACCTGAAGAACGACATCTTTTTGCCAAACCAAGAGAAATATATAATGTAGTCTCAGAGGTACAACTTTTAACAGATCTAGCTATAACAATAGATATAGATAACAAAATATAGCTAAAGTTTTATATATAATATGTCGAAATGACAAAGCATTGCATTCTATCGTTTTACTCTGCTTGCTATGTTATATTAAATTTTAATATAGCTGCACATCTGAATAGATGTGTTTATGTCATTCGTACATAGGAAACTGGGTCAAAAAGTAACTGCGCGCTTAATACATTAATTAGAAAAATAGTTAATAACTGATGGGTGACGTATTTATTTAAGCCCACTATAGCATTCTTGAAAGCTGCACTCCATAAGGTCCGGTAGTAAAAAAAAAAAAAGCCAAAAGCCGGGTAGTAACCATAGTTACCTTGAAACATGAAAAAATCACTTGAAAGGAAAATACACATTCGTATGAGTGGAAAATGTTCTACTCAGGAAAAACAAATAGGCAACGCTCGCAGTTTTGCCAGCTCTGATAGGCGAACAAATTACGATAGTTATGTTTGCCTGAATACAGAAGAGAGGGACTGACATGATAAAACCATAATAAATCGCATATTTGAAAACGAATTTCTAGCTTGTTGTTTCGAGCTGCATTTACATATGGACGTACATCCAGTGATCTCGAAGCGACGACTGCTTCCATCCAACTTAATAGTCATCGAACGTGAAAAAAATTGCAATTACTTTACTCGATTACTACGAAAATCTTACTTCACATACGAGGTCACAGTCTCTGTCGTCGTAAACACAGCCCTTGGCATCTATTACCCCTTGTAAGATTACAATATAAATAAGCCTTTTTCCCTACCAAAACAAATGTAAGGCTGATTGAATCCTAATCGTGGAAACTTTATGAGTCTAAACATTGCCGTCTGCAACAAACGCGTGTTAATTTAAGTCGATTGAACAGGGAGGTCGACCTTTTGAATGCGTCATAGATAACTGACCTGCATATCAATAAAATAAATTAATACACATTGCGACACTTTTGTACAATTACGCCACTTCCACTATTGCTGTGTCTTTTACTGTCAGAGAAAAAACTCAAAAATGGAGTTTCAATATTATCGGTAACAAATTTTCATCGCATGGTTTTACCACCACCCACTATCTTTCGCCTTCGTTAAGTCCCTGACTTTTTTATGCCGTCCGCTTGCTCACTTACCGGCACCAGTGTAGTCTTATATTATTAGCTTTGTCGCTACGATTTTCTTGGTTGCGCAGAGGGTATCACTGAAATTCCCCCCCCCCCCCCTTCACAGTGGATTCCTTCCATTCTACAACCAGGAAAGACCACTTCGTCTGCCAATCTCGTGTCTAGCTCATCTAAGTAACTACCAAGCTCCACCCCACCCGGCCACCAGACCGTCAGCCGATTTCTTCTACCCCACAGCGTTATTCCCGCACCTCGTCATCTTTCCACTAACTACCACGGGTTTTTTCCCTACTTGGTAACCAAGTCACCCGGATTTTCTCGAGATTGAGAAAAAAGCTTGCACGTCGACTGGTAGAGTAAAGGGGTCCCGTTCGAAAAGGCCAGGCAAACTGGTGGTGGATGTACTCATCCTTCAACGAGACGGACCACACCTCGCCTGCAAGGAGTTCAGCCTCTGACAACAATAAAAATCCAATTACGCCTCGTTCGAGCAGCACCAAAGGTGCTGGTTAAGCATCCGATTCGTTTCCCTCCCGATACAGGACCATCTGCGGGTCATGACCCTATTTCATGCCTTTCTTCTTCTTTTTTCATGGGGGCTGCCGTATATTTCAATTGCTTCGTGAGTGGTAACGGAGGCGCCGACCTCTATGACGGACAACGGAGCAGAATTCGCTGCTGGCGCGAATTCTGCTCCGTTGTCGTGCAAGGGCCGAGGACACACGCAGAAGTGGAAAAATAAGTCTTGCGTTCTACCTCAAGTTGTGGGAAAGTTCAACTTTCCTTTCAGACAAAAAGCTGCCAAGCTCGAAGGCGTCAATACAGTTGATGTGTACGTGCTTGTGGGTTCGTTCCGTCGTTTAGGTGGGCTTGCCGATCAGCAGAAAAATATGTCGTACATTTAGATAGCTTAAAATGACAATTTTAAATTGGTGAACTGGAAATCAGAAAAACTCTGGGGCTTGACCGGCCTGGGTTGTCTACCCAGGCAAATAGCGTTCGTTTATTTTAAGCTTGAGTTTGACATGCCATACAGTAGTTCGACTTATGACATTGTTTCTATTTCCCGTGCTTGGTCAGAATTTGAGGTCGCTAAAAGGAAATAGTCTGGTAAAATGCTACTGTAGACTTTTGCTGGTAGTTTCATTACAACACATAGTGTGATGAGATAAAGAAACAAACGATATAACACAGAAAGTCATTACGATTCTTGCCGTTCAACGAGTCTCATCAACGCAGTCACTAAATAGTAGATCTTTTGCTTTTCTCACTATTTTATCTGTTCTGACCCTATTTTAGGAACGAAATATTCGTGCTTGTGAAAGATGCATAGAGAATCGTCCATATGTTAATTTAATAAAACATTGATGTTTTTCACCGTCACTGTCTGAAATTTCGAATTCAATTAAATGTTGTGTGCCAATCACGATGACTACACTTTGCAGAAATGCACAGACATGTGCTTTATTATATTGCTACCACACTCGTCTCTAAATGTTAGGTCGACGAAAACACTACTGTGAAACATAACGTAGATGATCCATGTGCGCCTGACGAAATGACATTTACGGTGTAGTCGACAGGCAATAAAAATTCTAAATCAAGAAAAGTTAGTTTCCTATCTCTTTTCTCTACTGAATTCTCAGTTAGGGAACAACATACGCACATCTATCTGTAACGGATCTATACGGTAAACAGATCTATAGAGGTGGATCCATTAACGGTAGACGGCTATTGGTTACTGGTGTCGGCTGGAGTGAAGAAGATCCGTCAAAGGTGACATAGAGGACTCATTGGCTCGGCACAAGTCCACCCACTTTCCTATCAGGGATCGCAGAGAGTGACTGACGTAAAGTGGCGTACACACGCGTCCGTCCAAACATACACTGTCGCCAAGGTATATAGGAGTATCCATAGAGTCCAAATGTCTTCATGTCACTCAGAAAGAGCATATGAGGTCTCAGTCTTAGAGAAGGTCTCTTCAGAGCGATGATATAGAGATCCGGTCAGTGCTTACGGCTAAGCAAAGACGACAGAGATGGGCATAGCTCAGTCGGCGTTGAAGCCTACGGTTAGAGCTGGTGATGAGGGGATATGGACGAAAAATAGTAACAAACGTAACCGAATTGCGTGACTGAAATTGAACCAATTTTCGCTGCCGCCACTGCTACCGGTACGGTTGGTGCTCTGTAGAATCGTTCTCTTCCTCTCCGAAAATGTCCAACGTCCAGCGTTTCGTAAGCCGATGTTTTCTGGCGCTGAATTGCTATACTCGATAGCATACTATATCGAGCTGATACTGGCATCGGTATGAACCGAACCGATGAACTGCCGTTGTAAGTAGCCGCATGATGAAAATGACGCGGCGCCTCATAAGCTAACCGACGACCCTCACAAAAGGTCACAAACACGCCTAGCGCCGAAGAGAATCTCCGTCTCACTTTCAGTAGTGCTACCGCCATTGATGCTATAACGGCTGCTGCGGTCGCACACTAGCCTAATCCTTGCCTTCTTCCATTTGCTGCTGTCTCTGCCAAGGCGGTCGTACACATTGCTAGTCCGCCTCCTCAAGACTGCGGTACGGGGTTACCTCTGCCTGCGACTGGGGTTCGAAAGCAATAGATCGGAGCAGCGCACATATTTTTGCATGGCTGTTTTAGATTCAAGTGAGTGAGTGAGAAAAGCATAGGCAGATATGGAGAAAAATAATAAGAGAAGCTAAACTAAAGGGAAATCGAGGCACCACTATGAGTGTATATGAAGGGGAATATAGCAGACGTCTTTTTTTGCCTACCAACTTGTTGCCGAATGCTGCTTTACCTTTGGCATGAGCTAGCCATACTCTCCATCTGAGCATTACAAGAAAGCGGAACGTTTGTTCGGACGAAGGAGCATGGGCGATGGTAAGCGACAGAACTGCGGCAAGGAGATCAAGTCCAATTTCAACCAAAGCACACGTCGTCTAAGCTCCATTTCTAAGTTCTTTCTTCATTTTTCGCCCCAATTTCGGTTCCATTTGTTGTGTGTCACGGAAGACGACACGCTTCGGGAGACGTCTATTTGGCAACAAATCAATGCAGTAGGGGAACGGAGAACATCCCGATGAAGCTCGCGCCATGGATTGTAAAAGGGAAAAGAAGAAGATTTCCTACGTCTGTGTATTGTAACTCGTGATCACTGTAGTTACGTTAGAGTCACCGAGAGGTTCGTTATTTTTTCAATATGCGGTATAGACTGCACGGACCGTCGAAGTTCTACCGCTCAGCATTGGTTGAAAGTAAGACAATGGCCCCTAACGCTCTGGTCGCCTCGCTTCAATGCGAATCGTGCTCGGCAAACGGGACTATGCTGTTAACCGCTCGCGGCTTTGACAACGTCTACACGCATATACAAATTTGAGCTATGTTTCTCACAGTTACAGTACAGGTAGCGCACCTATCCGCTTAGCTCAGACTCAATGCTCCTAAATTACTTTAGGTTCTTGAAATTTCTCCGTAGAGTACAGTAGGTCACAGGCTCTCATTTAGGCTACTATAAGAATTTTAGTTTCGTAATGGTGCGTATAACTAAACGCCATCGTGTAATGTTGAATACGGACAACGAGACCGAACACAGTGTTTTTTTTTTTTTTTTTTACAAATTTATACTTACTTCTTTTTTGTATAGTCGGCCACTTAACTAAAAAGTTGACAAGTTTTAACTAAAAATTGCAAAATACGATATAATACAAAATCAATAAGCCGCTAATTGCATTCAATTACCTTGCTAGTTTATGGACGCTTAACGTCGTCGTTGTTCGTATCCATGCATTGTTACGTGCATAAGGTTGTTTTTACTTAGCGGTAGTAGTGAACCGCTAAAGCACTACTACACTATGAAATAATTACGACCACGTTGTCGAAAATCCGATAGACAGGTCCATCGGTATTGCATGATCACATGGCCATAGTGACATCGTCAACGTTCTCGTTCCCTGTCGCAGAATCAGCACGAGCAGAAGACCCGAGTAAATCCCATCATTGTCGATTTGACCTTCGCAGTAGATATCGATTCGGATGTTACTATGGCGACATGAAAATCCATTTCAACTGTTCGAATAGGCGCAGTGTTTGCTATCAGGATAGCAATGCTATGGTTTGACCTGGCGACCACACTGAATGAGAGCTATCCATTTGGTAGTCATAATAGGCCGTCGAGTCATAGCTGAATTGCCGATGAACGGCCATCTATGAGAGAGATGACATCCGAGTGACGTTCAACCCACTCATTCAGTGGATCGTACCCCAATACAGCCATCCAACAGGAATTGTTAGCAACCCACCTTGAACGACTGGCGCAGATAACAATAGAACCAC